AGCCAATATCTCGTCACCCTCTTCTACAACCTCCCCCCTCTCTTCCCTTCTTCTTCCTCTCTCGATCTCGCTCTCTTGGAGAGCTTGAGAGAGAACCATCAGCCGTTCCAGCCGCAGCTCTCTGCTTCTCTGCTAGCTCGGCCACCAACCCCGCAGCCGTCGGGGTATTTTTTTTGGGTGCCTTCGCCTCATCCTTTTGATCCAGGTTGAAACAGAGGTCTCGCTACTAGTCCCGCTTGTATCTCTAGCTTGGCCTTTATCCTACGCCTAAGAAACACGCCGCCTCATCTAGCCAACGCCGCGCCATCGACCCTCGACACTTTGCAGCCAGCCGATCGACTTCTGGTGTCCAGTCTCTATCTTTGTTTCATTTGGTCTTTTTCTTTTTCTTTTTTCCTTTTTTTTTTTTTTTTTTTTAGATCTTTCCTCCCCCCCCCTTAACACTCCGTCGTCTCCCCTCCCCGGGTGCTAGCCTGGCCCCCGACTTGTTCCGCAGCATGGAATTCCAGTCGACGGCCATGTCTCTCAACGAGACTGGTGGCAGTGCTTTCGCCTTGCCCTCCCCTACACACCACCACCACCACCATGTGGACGTGACCTCGGCTGTACGCTCTCTGAGGAGATCCATCTCGCGATCCCCCTCGCGTTTTGTTCCTCGCAACGACACTTCCCGCAGTTCGGACAGCCCGACGCCGGCATCGCCTCAGTCGCCCTGCAGGCGATTTCGACTGACGCCCCAGCGACAGCACGATAGCTTCGCCGCATCACAACTCTACACGCACTCTGCTCCTCCCGCTCACGGCCTCAGCAGCACCGCCTCCTCGAACTCTCTGGCTTTCACTCCCGTTCGACCCGGTATCAAGCTGTCACTGCGCTCGGTCAAATCTGCCAAGACGTCACCATCGCGTCCCATCACGAGGTCACGTGCCTCGCCGAAGAGCCCTCTGCGCCGAGCCTTGAACTCTTCACCCGCAGACCAGGCTGCCGCAGCCGCTGCGCAGCGCTCCTCACAGCTCCTCTCCAGTACCGTGAACGAGGAGCCCTTGGCAGAGATTGAAAACTTCAAGCCCCAGCCGTCCAGCCCTCTCCAGAACCAGCGTCGCTCTGCCGACAAGGCAGCCCGCCACAGCCTGCACCTCGACGTCTCTGGCTCCTCGGAAAACGCCTTCCTCAAGGCCCTCGACCCAGACCCCGACTCAGCAACGCTGTCTGCCGGCGGTTTGAAGCGCAACGACACCATGATGAACCTCGACCAGCCCTACGAAGGAAGCCCAGTGCCTAAGCGGCGGAGCATGCACGGCTTCTTGAGCCTTGATCAGCCCCCCGTCGAGCGCGCCAGCATCTTCTCGGCCACCTCCGCCGCTCCTTCCACCAACTTCAAGATCCATGAGGACACGGCCGCCGAGCCTGACACGCCGTCGCCTTTCAACCTCCCGTCATCATCATCGTTGTCGTCTCAGGTGTCTCTTCCGCCTCCCGCAGCGCCCCCCGCTCCATCCCTGAGCTTCCCCAAGCGCGCCGCCTCGTTGAGGAGGTCCACCATTCTGCCGCGGGTCGGCGAGAAGACTTCCTGGGGCAAGCGCAGCGGTCAGCGCCAGCTGGCCCAGCTGGCCCAGCTAGATCAGGACAGGATCCTGACCCCGGCCAAGCCTCGCGCTCCCCTCGCCCTCAACCATTTCGAGCCGCCCGCGGCCGGTACCGGTAGCAACCTCTTCGGCTCGGCCACCCCTGCCGGCAACCCCTTCCATTTCGAGCCCAAGTATGCCCAGAGCCACCACCCGCTGGCCCAGACCCAGACCCTGAGTGCTTCTTCGTCGAGTAACAGCGTCGCCGACGAGAACCCCGGCGGCTGCGCCCCGGCCCCCCCCGTCTCCGCCAACCTCTTCGCCGCGCCGTCCCACCCCTTCTCCCGGTCTCTCCCCGTCGGCGCCGAGCGGCCGGCGCCTGCACCTGGGTCGACACCCCTGGCCAACAAGGGCAACCTGCTTTACCAGGGCGCCTTTGGCTCTACCGGTCTCATCTCCAAGGTGAACCGGAACCCGGAGCACTTCGAGAAGAAGCTGGTGCCGCCGGACACCCCCTGCAAGCCGTGGAAGAAGTCGACCGACCGCTTCAACACGTATCCCTCGGGGACCCCCGGCAGCGCCAAGAAGAGCCGGGGTAACAACCGCAACTCCTTTGCCGGCATCTCTTCCCTGACCTTCCAGCCCCCGTCCGCCCAGACCGAAGACCTCGGCACCTCCATCTTTGCACCCAGGCCAAGGCAGACGAGTGCTCGCCTCCTCGGCGACGACCTGGACGGCGACATGAACCTCTTGGACGAGAACGGCGACGAGCGCGCCAGCCACATCCCTCCCACTCCGACCAAGAATGGCATCACCCCTAGTCTCAGCAACCTTAGCGAGCTCAGCGAGCACTGCAGTGACCATTCGTTTGACAGTCCCAGTGCCAACCGCAAGAGCTTCTGTCCCCAGGACCTGACGCAGCATGCCCGTCCCACGCCGATGCGGCAGCCAAACTGTAAGCTCCTGTCCCTCTACGACGGCCGGATGGACGCATCCTTGCGTCCACCCCGCTGCATCATGCCAACCGTTGAGCCTTTACTGACCTGCCCTCCCTCCCCCCCAAAAAAAGTCGGTCCCGGAAGCTCCGTTTCCGTCCGCCGTTCACCCCGGACACCACAGGAACTGTCTCTGCCCGAGACGACGAGCCAGCTCTCCATCTCCCGCCCCAGCCCTTCCGTCGACAACAAGCTCCCTCCGGCGACCCCGACCACTGACCGTGACTTCCGCTCTTCGACCGGACTCTTCTCGACACCGGTCCACGAGGACACCAGCTTCTTCGCCACCGAGAGCTACACGGAGCCGAGCCTGCAAAAGATGTTTGACGAGGTCACCAAGCTCGGCGACGGCGAATTCTCCATCGTCTACCGCGTCAAGCAGCGCATCCGCCGCTTCGGATCCCCCGTCACGGGCAGAAAGTCTATCTTCAGCACTACCCCGGTCCAGGCGCCCCTCGAAGGGAGCGTCTTCGTCGTCAAGAAGATGAAGCAGCCCTACCTCGGTCCGAAGGACCGGGAGAGGAAGCTGCGCGAGGCCCGCATCCTGTCCACCCTGAGGGATGCCGAGCACGTCGTCCAGTACATTGGCGACTGGGAGACGGACGATCACCTGTACATCCAGACCGAGTATTGCGAGAATGGCAACCTCAAGGACTTCTACTCCCGCGAGGGCTTCTTTGGCCGTCTGGATGACTTCTGCATCTTCAAGATCCTCCTGGATCTCACCCTGGTAAGAACATGGCACCTGAACAGGACCGTGACCGTCGTACACGTACAAGCTTGTGCTGACAACTCTTTGCTCTACAGGGACTCAAGGAGATACACGATGCTGGGTTCATGCATCTAGACATGAAGCCGGCCAACATCTTCGTGACATTTGAGGGTGCCCTCAAGATCGGCGACTTTGGCCTCGCCAGGTCCTTGTCGGAGGCTGCACCGCTCGACATGGAGGGTGACCGCGAGTACATGGCACCCGAGATGCTCCACGGCCAGTTTGGCCCTTCATCAGATGTGTTCTCGCTGGGGATGATCGTATTCGAGGCTATTGCCAACGTCGAGATACCCGGAAATGGCGAGGACTGGCACAAGCTACGTTCGGGCGACTTCTCCGGCGTCCCGAGCCTGGCGTGGACGGCGTCGTGCGACACGAACCCGCAGCGCAGCGGCCTCTACAGCGAGGACCTGGAGACGTCGGACACGACACACAATGCCGGCAACCTATTCGGATCGCACAAGCGGTCAGAGCTCCTAGAGCCACCCACCTTTATGGAAGACGCGCTGCACCCCGAGTCGCTGCGCTCCATCGTCAGCTGGATGATGTCGAACAACAACACCGACCGACCCGCGGCTGACCAGCTGCTCAGCCTCGGCAGCCTGCAGTGGATTGCCATGCGCCGCCAAGCACCGGCGACGATCTTTGAGGGCCGGTGGGGACCCGTCGAGTCGGAGACGCCAGCTATCCTTGATATCGACACGGAGATGACGGGAGTATAAAAGTACCACAGTCTTGACCTCGTCTCTCCCCATCTGTTTCAGCAGCCTTCTTTTCCTCTCTTTCCGCAAAGCACGTTTTGCAAGGCATGACATTTCTCATCTTACATTTACAACCCTCCTCGTTCTACGAGGCTGTTTTTCTGTTACAGGCGTTGACATGTTCTCATCTTATCTTATTTCCCCCAACAAAGGATTCGAAAGGGAACGCATTTGGGCGGTGGGATGGCGTTATTATAATATGTGCTCTAGGGATACATGAGTTGTCATTTCCCCCAGTTTTTGTTTTGTTGTGAAGCCCACATGAGCGCTTTTTTGGTGGTTACAAAAACCCCTCTGGAGACTATATATATATACATATATATATACATCTATATCCTGGACGCGAGATGTATATTTTTATAGCGAAAAGGGTATGGAGAGGAGCAAGAGGAGGAAGAGGAGGAAGTTTCTTCAGCTGCTCATGATTGTTACGAGGAAAGTGGTATGAATATGGTATGACATGGCATTTTTTTTATGGGAATGAATGCGCTCGTTTTGCTGGTTTGACTTGTTTCAGTGGGGAGACTAGAAGTTGTGGTGACTTGTACTAGTAACTTGTACTGGTAGTGATATCGATAGAAGAAGATATTTTCTTTTGTTTTATGATCCTGTGCAACACAACATGTGATGATAGTATCGGGATTTTTTTTGTGGGTTTTGTAGACATGTCACGTATACGTGATATTACTCGTTTTCGGGTCTGTCAAGACGACGTTTACAAAACAGTATTATTGTATGTAATATTGACATTTTTCTTCTTCTTTTCAAGCAGGGGAAGCAGATGGTGTATCATGGAAAGGAAAAAAAAGTACGAAATTGAGCGGATTGATTTCTCTTTTTTTTTCTTTTGTAAGAAAAAAGAAAAAAGAAGAGAAAAAAAAAGAAAGGTGAGACATCAGTAGGCATGATGAATAAACATGTGGTGGATCGAGGGTAGAGAAACCAGTGGAATGGTGTAAAAATAAAAAGGTCTCAAGGTGATAGGTAATAGTAGTAGTAGTAGTAGGTATCATGACATTGGCGATGTAATAAGTGGTAGTAAGAAGGGGGTTCTTGTAGCCGGGAGTAGCCTTAGTATGTTACAAGTCATCCTCGTCCTCGCCAGCCTTCTCGGCGATAAAGTACCTGGTACGACCGGAAGAGTCCGTCTCCTGTTCTATGGCCAGCTTCTGGAGTCTGACGAGGGCGTCCTCGATGGCGGTGTCCTTCTTCGACCTGTTCTTCCTGCCTAGGTTGTCTAGCCAGGAGATGTTGTTGAGGACGAGGTAGACGATCGCGATGATGATGGTGACGCCGAAGGAGTAGAGCCAGATGAGGACGACGGTGACGACGTCGGTCCAGCCGTCGTGGCGGCCGTCGAAGGCGCCGGGGGGGCTGGTGCGCTGGCCGGTACCGGATAGCCAGCCGAAGAGGCAGAAGAGGGTGGCTATGATGTCGACGCCCAGGATGGCCAGGATGAGCTGCCACGACGGCCAGGTCTTGCCCCCCCGCGTGACGAAGATGAGCCAGTTCTCCGTCAGGGACACCTGCAGGAAGAGGACCTCCTGGATGGAGCCGAAGTTCTTGATGATGCCGCCGTCGTCGAGGAACATGGTGGCCCGCATGACCCAGGTGCCGATGGCGAGCAGGATGCCCAGCACGACGCTGACGACCCAGATCTTGGGCAGCTGCCACTCCACCGGCCGGGGCTCCCAGTGCGCGTTGTCGTACGCCACCGCCACCGTCGCCAGGTCCGCGAACAGCGCGATGAAGACGATCAGGTCCGCCCGGATCGTCTCGTTGATGATGATCATCGACAGCGTCAGGTATATCTCCAGGTGCAGGCAGAGCGCGATGCGGTACTGGATGTACGACTTCATGCGCTGAAAGATCTGCCGCGACGTCTTGATCGCCAGCACGATGGTGCTCAGCCCCGGCGCCAGGAACACGATATCCGACGCCGCCTGCGCCGCCTCGCTGGCGCCCTCCACCGCGATCCCGCAGTCCGCCTTCTTCAGGGACGGCGCGTCGTTGACGCCGTCCCCCGTCATCGCCGTCAGGTGGCCTCGCTGCTGGAGCATCTCCACCACCGTGTACTTGTGCTCCGGGAACACTTCGGCGAACCCGTCCGCCCTCTCCACCAGGTCGTGCTGCACGCTCCCCGCCACGTTGCCGTGGATCAGCCGCTCCGAGTTGTACACCTTGGACCCGAGCGAGAGCATCTTGCACGTCTCCTTGGCGATGGCCAGCGCGTCTCCAGTCAGCATCTTGACCGGCACACCCAGGTGGAAGGCTTCGATGATGGTCTGCGCCGTGTCCTCGCGTGGCGGGTCGAACATGGACAGAAGGCCCAGCAGCACCCACGGCTCGTCGTTCTTGCGGTACGCCACGCCCAGGGACCGGAACCCACGACGCGCAAACTCCTGCGCCTTGTCGTTGTACAGGTCGCCCGCCTCCTCGGAACAGTTGGTCAGGCGGAGCACGGCCCTGGGCGCACCCTTGGCGCACGTATACCTGTCGCTGCCCAGATGGACCTCGGCCGTGATGCGCTTCGATACAGGGTCGAACGGTGTGAACTTGTCCGTCGTCCAGCCATTTTGCAGGATCTCGCGCGCCTGCGGGTACCGCTTCAGACTGAGGATGGTCACCTTGTCGATTGGATCGAGGGACTTGAGGTTGTGCGACGACGCCATAGCGGCCACGGCCATCATCCAGTTGACATCCTGGCCCTCGGACACCCAGGGTTCGCGCATGCTCAGCTTGTTGGCTGTCAAGGTTCCCGTCTTGTCGGAGCAGAGAATGTCGACACCCTGTTTGCCATTTTCTTACGTATTAGCTCCGGAGGGGCAGGTGGTGAGGTGAGGTGGACGACGGAGGGGAGTGAGAGACTTACAGCCAGAGATTCAATGGCCGTCAACTTTTGGACAATGGCTTTCTGCTTGGCCAGGTACGCGGCGCCGACGGCCAGGGTGGTGGTCGTGACGACAGGCAGACCGACAGGCACACCGATAATCATGAGGATGAGGGCATAGTGAAACAGGTTCTGGCTCCCCGGTTCCGTGACGGGAATATTGCGGAAAAAGCCTCCTATCCACGCTGCCAGAATCCAGAACATGACGAGAATCAGGAGCGTCGTGCCAATCTTGTCCATGACGGCCTTGAAGTGGCCCTGGTCCTTGGCTCCCTGCACCAGGTCGGCCGTACGTCCGACGAACGATCTCTTGGCCGTGGCCGTGACGACGGCGTACGACCGGCCGCGCTTGCAGCCCGTCGTGTAGTAGATGGTGTCGCCCATGTACTTGTCTACGGCGAGCGATTCGCCCGTGATGGCGGACTGGTCCACCGCCACGAGGGGCCGGTTTCGGTGCTGCATCATGACGTAGACGGAGCCGCGCCGCGCGGGTTTATCCTCGGGTGACTTGGCGTGGGTGCTGCCGCCACCCTCGTCCTCTGGGCTATCATCACCTTCATCGTCGTCGCTGCGACCGAGTTTGTCCTCGGCGCGTAGGCGCTTGTAGACCTCCTGGTCTTCTGGCCTGTCGGCGTCGCAGATGAGACATGCATCAGCTGGGACGGTACTGCCTTCTCCGACAATGACCTGGCATCGGGCTGTCAGTGCGGTGTAACAGGAAGAAAGGCCGTAAATCGCCATTGACGGGTAGGTAGATGACGAAAAAGATACGGGCGGGTTACTCACAACGTCACCAATGACTAGCTCGCGCGCAAGAATATTCTGCTCCTGGCCGTCGCGTACCACCGTACATCGCATGGCAATGTCACCCTTGAGACTGGCCACGACATCGGCGGCCTGCTTCTCCTGGTAGAAACCAACAAAGGCATTGAGGGCCAGGATACCGACAATGACACCAAAATCTATCCAGTCGCCTAGACCGACGGCCAACAAAGCAGCCAGCTCCATGACTGCACGCGGGCGTTAGCGAGCATCGCGTACAAGTGAACAAAGAAGAGGAGAAGATGGCAAATCATAGGTAGAGAAGTATGAGTGAGAAGGACTGAAATAGAGCAGGATAGAGCAGGATAGACCAGAAACAGAGCAAAGTAAAAGCCACGCATAAGCATAGACAGCGTAAAGACGAGCGCGAGGGGCCATACCATAAAGAATTGGACCGGTAAAGAAGCTGAGAAATTTGGTAAACAGATTTTCCTTCTCGGCCGACAGCTCATTCCAACCTGTCAGCTTTCGCCGTTCAGGGATCTGATTTGTGCTGATTCCTCGGTGGATGTCCGTCTCGATCCAGTGGTCCGGGACGCCCTGGTCGGCGGCGACGGGTTCCTCCTCGTCGGATTGGAACTGCCAAAACTTCCACCAGGGTTTCTTCCTCTTCTTTCCCTGCGTGTCGTCTTGGGGCTTCTCCTCCTCGCGGTAGATACTAATGTAGCGATCCAGGGCTGGATACTCCCCCAGCTTCTCATCGACCATGTTGTTGGTGCCATTGAGACCGCCGTCGCCGACTCCAGGGCCTCCTTGATTGCTACTGGATCCGCCCGATTCTCCGGCCTCGGGATCCACTTGCCCGCCGTGGGGCTTCCGGTGGTGGAGCCGAGAGAGCATGACGAACGGCAGTTGGGGGGGGGGGGGGGGGGGGAGAAACTACAGATTGGGGTGAAATAGAAAGGTTCGCGTCTAGATGAAAGATGAGACAAACTCGACACGAATTAAGGATTAGAGAGAGAGGAAGAGAAAGAGAAGAAGAGAGAAAAAAAAGAGAGAGCGAAAAAGACGAAGGGGAAGGGGGAGCGGGTTGTCTAGTGGTTGGTACTTGGAATAAACAAAGCCGTATATCGTCATTGACAGGGTACTCCTCCAACCAACCAACTTGGGACTCCTGTCCTTCACGAATGGATCCGGGGATAGATTTGTGGGTTGAATGAGAAAAAATTGACTTTATCATAGACCAATTCCAAACGGATATACCGGACAGTGGAGGGGAGGGGGTACGAGCAAGGCGCAACCGTGCAGCAAGACTAGTAGCTGACTAGGATCCCGTGGGCGACAATCTTACCGACCCGTACCATCCTCCAATATTGGGGATCGCAACTGCTCCAATTCAGACATGACAAATCGAGAATACCTGTCCCGGTGATGCTTGAGAGCATGCGTGTCTCTGGACATACATACCCCCATGGGCTGCTGCTCCATGTGCGTACGAGATTTGCTGCGTGCATGGGTAGATCCAAGTATAGCGGCAGCGATAGAGACCGACATGTACAGGAATGTACTCGTAGCTGGGCTCTCATCTCGAGAGAGAACCCATGCAGGGACGCTATCGATTCTGCCAGAGGTATCATGGCTACGACACACGGACACGGACACAGACACGGGGCGTACGTGGTTGCCATGGCCAGTTGGGCCTGTAATGGCCACGCCACTCCGCAACCCCTCACCCTTGCCCGGATACAACGCCGTCTTGCCTTTCTGTCCCATTCGCTGTCCTGGGGAAGAAGCTGAGCCAGGTGATGCTGGCGGCCGCCAATGGTAGTCGGCAAACTTTTCCGGACATGGGATGCCGTCACACCCATTCTCGATGAACCGCCCCGGCATAGCTACCAGGTGTTCGATAGGCCAATGTGGTGTCGGGACATCATGGGATCATTTACCGCCCTGGCTCAGACACTCTGCTTTCTCCATCAACGTATCCATATGCTTGCCTCTCTTAGCCTCTCACCTCACCTCTACAGCCAGTCTGGCCTTGAGGTCATAGGCAGTCCTGCATCAAATCTATGCAAGTTCGGACTGGCCGTGAAAGCAAACTGCTAGCCCTAGCTCTTTGGTGCGGGGAATGTGCATATTCTCAACGCTTCTACTGGCTGGCGAACCTCGGAGATGAAATTCGCATCGTCATAAGAGATGGATGGGTGGAGATGCATATCAATGTGGCGGGAAGGATGGTCGATTGGATGGTGTGATGGTGGTGGTGTCAGGAGCTGATGTCAAGAGCTTCAACAGGCTCAGGTTTGCAATCGATGGAGCTGGGAGAGGGAAGTACGTAGTGACATTTGGGGAATTTGACTTGAAGAAGTAGAATTCGATGAAGTCATGCTCTGAGCCGAGGGAAGGTGCGTCCTGTGTAATGCCTGCCTTCGCATCCGAATTAGTGGAACGACTTCAAATATCACATACAGTGCACAGTTCAGCACTACAGTGGTGCGGTGCACCAACGCTGCTGCTACTGCTACTGCAGCAGAGTAAAGAACTTGACAATACATCATGCTACAGGCGAACAGGAGATAAAACGGTAACCAACGGTCTATGAGCTCCATTTCTACACCCGTCTTAGGCCCGTCCATGATGGAGCCCAGACTCGGCACACGCTGTTGTTGTGGGCCCCCGCGCCGATGTATCACACCACCAGACTAGTACCCCCCCGCCAGCCGGCCGTCATCGGCTGTCGGTTTCATCGTCAGCCATCAACCACCAGCACCATAATCGCCGTCGCCATCCCTCAGTCTTGTCCTGGGCCAAAGAGCAAGAAGCATAACCACCGACCATTACTCTGACCTGACTGCCGAATTCCGGCCAGTTTCCACACCTCGACCTTTGCTGGTAAACCGCAACCCCCACCCCCCCTTCTTTCCCCGCAGCTGTCCCACCCCCCATCACGCCCCCCATGACCGGTCTCGCCCTCCAGCCCGGCCAGTCCGACCTTCCCAGCAAGCACAGCACGCATTCATACTGGCACCAGGATCCTTCTCCCATCCTGCTCGGCCACCGAACAACGCCCCAGCTACCTACCCATGCCAGCGTAGTCGTCGTGGGCAGCGGCATCACCGGTGCCTTTGCTGCTCGGGAGCTCGTCCAGGCTGGCACTGATGTTGTCATGCTCGAGGCTCGTGAGGCTTGTTGGGGTGCCACTGGGAGAGTGAGTTATAATCCATCTTCTCTCTGCTCCGGACCTCTTCTTCTATGTGGTTTACTGCCGCGGGAAGAAAAAAACAGCTGACACTCAAGCCAAACTTATATAGAATGGGGGTCATTGTCAACCACTCGCTTTCCTATCCGAGCTTGACATTGCCAAGTTCGAGCTCGACACCTACCGTTTTTTAAGTGACCTCATCCGCGAGAACAACATCCCGTGTTCCTGGGAAGAAGTTGGGGGCGTCTACGCCATCAGCTCCCCCGCAACAGTACCCCTTATCGAGAAGCGTATTGCCCATCTGCGCGTCTCGGAGCCCGAGATTGGGAGCCACGTGCGCCTCGTGACAGACCAGCAAGAGCTGCGTAGCCTGCGCCTACGCGACGATAGTGCCGTTGCTGCCGTCGTCCAGGATCGCGCGGCAAAGTGCTGGCCCTACAAGCTCGTCTGCTGGGTCCTTGAGCGCCTCCTCGAGCACCCCGGCGGCCTGTTGAACCTGCAGACAGGCACGCCCGTGGAGCATGTCCAGCACCACGGACAAGGCTGGATCGTGCACACGGAGCGTGGGCAGGTGGCGGCCGACAGTGTCATCCTCGCAACCAACGCCTACACGTCCCGCCTGCTGCCGCGCTTTACAGGCATCATCATCCCCACCAGAGGCCAGGTCAGCGCCCTGATCCCCCCCGCAAACGCGCCGCCCCTGGCGCACTCGCACCTATGGTCGGTGCGCGAGGATGGCGATTACGGCGAGAGCGAAAACTACCTGGTGCAGCGGCCGACGGGCGAGCTGATTCTCGGTGGTGAGAGGATGTGCACCTCAGACGCCGGAAACGGTGTATCGCACGATGACGAGATAGATGAGACCGTAGCCAAGAGGCTGCGTCGGGCCATCCGCTCAGAGCTGCGCTTGGATCAGTCGTCACCGGATAGCGACCCAGATGAACTCGCCGCAAGCTACGAGTGGACCGGGATAATGGGCTTCTCTCGCGACTCCAAGCCCTGGGTAGGACGCGTTCCCGCGAGCCTAGGGGGCTCCGACGAGAGCAGCAGTGGCGGCCTGTGGCTGAGTGCAGGCTACACAGGCCACGGCATGCCCGTGGCTGCGCGGACCGGCATCTCGGTGGCCCAGAAGATCTTGGGAAAGACTGGCCAGGGCGTCGTCGAAGTCCCACCCGACTGGTTGGTGAGCGAGGAGAGGGTAGACAAGGCCCAAACGCTGGTGATGCCCGAGACGATGGAGGATGAGTTGAGGGTATTGGTTCAGAACGAAGCATGATCTAGAACTGTGCAACATCCATGTTTCCCCCAACATGAGTTTCCTACTCTTCTTTTGAACAAAAGAAACAAAACCATTGCAAAAGCCCCCCGGAACTAGCTTAGTCATAATATTTCTCCGCACACTAAGAGTTTAAGCCTGGAGACTCTGCTGGAGCCAACCCCAGACCTGATAACCGAGCTTCATCCGGCATGACCAATCAGAGCGGCCCATTTTGCAAGCAGTGCCTCCCCCGAACATGCCATACTGGCTCGCCTGGGGAAATACTCTCTCGCGAGACAACCTGGCCAAGGTATCATCTCGAGTCAATTGTCCCATCGATCTCTCCTTGCGGTTCACCCCAAAAAGACGAGGCCTCCGACGGCGACATCAGCGTTTCTCCCCTTCTCCATCCTGAAGCCAACCCAATTCAATTCCCACAGGCCACCCGACAAGGTACTCGTCTCCACCCCCGGATTTCTCTCCTCGTCCTTGATCCATCCCCGCAATGGCGTCTAAGATGTCACCCCTTGTGCGGACGGCCGTACGATCCGCCGCCTCGCGAGCCAGCACCACGGGCTCGGCCTTTGCCATGCAGGCTCGAGCTCTATCCGTTACTGCTCATAGATACAGCGACACACTTCAAGTTGTAAGTCGATCAGACATGCACCACCCCTCTCCTCTCTCGCGCGGATCGTATGATTCATTTTCAAGTTGTTTTGGCTGACACCAGACAACATCGATAAACAGCACCGCAACACCAAAGACAACAACCCCGACATCCCATTCAAGTTCAACGCAAAGAACGAGGCCATCATCGCCGAGATAATGAAGCGCTACCCCCCCCAGTACAAGAAGGCCGCCGTCATGCCCCTGCTCGACCTAGGTCAGCGCCAGCACGGCTTCACCTCGATCAGCGTCATGAATGAGGTAGCCCGTCTGCTTGAGATGCCCCCCATGCGAGTCTACGAGGTCGCCTCATTCTACACGATGTACAATCGGAGTCCTGTCGGGAAATTCCATGTCCAGGCTTGCACCACGGTATGTTCCTTCTTATACCCTCCCCTCCCCTCCTCTCCCTCGACTTCTGTACACTGGAGAAGAGAAAAACGGAAAGAGGAAAAGGAGGGGAGAGAGAGAGAGAGAGAGAGAGAGACTTGACTTTGTATTCTGACGTGTATCTGTGCTGTGTGGTAAAAGACCCCCTGCCAACTCGGAGGCTGCGGCTCAGACGTCATCGTCAAGGCAATCAAGGACCAGCTCGGCATCAAGCAGGGCGAGACCACATCCGACGGCCTCTTCACCTTCATCGAAGTCGAGTGTCTGGGTGCCTGCGTCAATGCACCCATGATCCAGATCAATGACGAATACTACGAGGATCTCACGCCCGAGACCGTCGTCAGCCTTCTCAAGGCCCTCAAGGAGAGTGCTCTCGCTGCCTCCCCCGACTCCGAGCCTGCCCTGCCCAAGTCCGGCCCCCTGTCTGGTAGGCAGTCTTGCGAGAACAGCCAGGGCCAGACGAACTTGACCAGTGAAACGTGGGGTATTGAGAAGACGAGGGCTGATCTGTAAAGGGGGGTGGGTTGGAAAGTAGTTGTGTATCCTTTTCCCTCTGTGCTCTAGTATGCAGTCGCACTTTTTTGTTGTTTCAACATGTTGTTTTCTGCTTCAAACACTTCCTTCCTCACTACTTGGCTTGTTTGTGGCACCAGGGAATGAGATTATGTACATATGCGTTACAATACAATTCACGGTATAGACAAAACACAATGACGCCGTGATTCAGCCCTTTCAATCTCCCCATGTGTTGATTTGTTGTTTGTTATTTCCCTTGCTAACATACAGTATATCCCACGCCATACCCAGAGAGGCAATACGAAAAGGAAACGAAAAGGAAAAGGAGGCATAAAAAAAAAGGAAAAGAAAACCCCCAGAGTATTTTTGAAAAACGTGTCTCATATACATGGACGATTCATCATCAGTCAAGCCGTAGAATCCAGCCGTCGCCAAGCCTCTCATTCTGCTCATTGAGCCCACCCCAGATGAAGATGGCACTCTCGCCTAGGTCCTCTATGACGGCGCTGGCCAGCCATCCGCGCGGCTGGGGCTCCTCAAAAGTGTCCTCGTCATAGGGCATCGTCACGACGCGCTGCCACTTGCCGCCGCCCGTCTTGCGCCCCATGGCCTGCCACATGGCGTCGGTGAGGCTCGCGGCCGACATGCCCAGCTGCGGGACCTGGAAGGCCCAGACGTCGCCATGGAACTTGCCTGCCCCCTCGTGGCCATCGGAGCTGGGCGCGCCCTCGCCCATGGCGACGACGAGGTACTCGCGGCCCCCGCCGGTGGTCAGCGCGTGCAGAGACGAGACGCTGCGGGCGGAGGGCCACTGCTGTGAGAGCTCGACGGGGATCTCGGTCGGCGATGCCGCGAGGTTATCTTGGAGGATGGACTGCCATGAGCCACGCGGCCGGATGGCTACCTCGCCGCGGCTGACCTTGTCATCGAACATCTCGACCTCGAGGTGGAGGAAGTCAATCTGGCCACCCAGCTCCTTCTCTCCATCGTAGCCGCCGAAGCGGAACAGCCTGCTCTGGCTGATACAGATGGCCGTGCCCCCCCGAGCGGGACCGGGCGCCGACAGGAAGGGCCGCCATGTCCTCGTGTGCACGTCAAAGGCCCAGATATCGCTGGTGCGCTCCCCGTTCTTGAGGCAGCCACCGTGGATGAGGAAGGTTCCGTACCCGTCCGACTCCTCATCCACGGCCTCCTCGGCCACGTTGCCTACAATGGGGTTCTGCGGGATGCCCGTCTTGGAGGTGTCGCCCACGATCCTTTCGCGCCAGTTCCTGGGCGGTGGCGGGATGGGCTTGGCGAAGTCGCGGGGCCGGTCCGTTGCGGTAGCGCAGTGGTAGCTCCGGGCCGAAGGGTGGGGGATGATGGTGCCGCCCTTGACTGCTGGGACGGGGTCGAGGTGGGACCAGGTGTGGCTCCTGGTATCAAAGACCCAGACTCGCCCTGCCTCGTCCAGAGGCTTCATGTCGGGGCCACCCCGGCCGCCAAACATGAAGATGCGGGACCCAATCGTGGCCGTGGCATGTCCGACGCGTGGTGCCGGGACATTGGCATCGGCCGTCTCCTTGACCTCGCTGGCCGGCGGTTCCTTCTCCTTGCCCTTGGACTCCGTCGAGGCCGAGGCCGACGAAACGGCATCCTCATCCTTGAGAGAGACTTCGTCCATGTCCTTCTCGTCGTTGGCGTCCTTCTCCTCGGCATCAGACCCTGCCTGGCTTGCAGGGGTCGAGTTCCGGTCCTCAGTCTTAGCCTCGAACTGGGCCTCAGGCTCGTCGAGCTCTTGAGCCACAGCCTTGACCTTGAAGTAGTCGGAGCCGGCGCTGCCCCAAGGCAGCGTCACAACGTGCATGTCGTTGTCCACAGGCTCGCGCGGGTTAATCTCCCCGCCAAAGATGTAAGCCGAGCCGGATATGACATTGACAGTGTGAGAGGAGCGAGGGAGAGGTGGCAGAGAGATGGGCTCCCAAGTGCCCGTCATGGTTGCCTCTTTGCCTTTGCCTAGCTTCCAGGACGGCCATTGAGGCATGGCCGGTAGCTGGGGCATCTTGGAAGGCATGGCGGACATGGCGGGCATCGCAGGCACACCATCTCTGGCACTCTGTAACATGTCGGATGTCCGGCGCCGGATCATGGACAGGTTAGATTCGGATTCCATTGGTATTTTATGTTGTGAGAAGGAGTGTCCTGGTGTCTGCCTGTGTGTCTTGAGTTGAAATGAGGCTGGAGAGCGTGAGGCTGTTTGGGCCCTAGCAGCTATTGCACAGTGCGTGTATCGCGCGAAAGGCTAGGATGCATGCCCAATGCGAGTGAATCGATCCGTCCAGAGGTCAGATGACGTGTTGCCACTTGCTGCTCGAGCTCAAGGGTGAAGAGGTTTCACCCAAAAGTGGGCAGATTCCGGTTGGCAAGGACTGCTGTGCAACTGTATGAGCGAGCGGTTTGTCGTCATTCCCTGGGGAAACAGTATAGGTACGACCACGACTATGTATGGGGAGAAAGCCGACCTCTACTCTCGGTGCGAGTACTAAAACTATGTCAATAGTATGTTTTCCCAACGGCTCTGACGGTCGCCGAAGCCGAAGACTGGAGAAAGGCGCAGCATCATGAATTCTGTGGACTGACAAGCTTCGATTCGCTGGGCTGGGTTGCTGGGGTGGCCGAGAGTGGGGCTCCATGCTGGGCCCGCCACCCGGGTAGCCCTGTATGGCCTGTATGGCCTGTAACCTGAGCGACCCTGTAGCCTGTAGACACTGGGCTTAGCGGGCTGTAGGGCAGTGCAAGCCGATTCTAGTGATCTCAGTGGCAGTGAACCCCGGATAATAATAGCAGTACTATGCACATCTGTACTTGACTCATTACCGTAGGCTGTAGCCGAATGAAATTTGATGGCCTGGAAACCGTCGAGTATGCTGCTCTGCACTGATCTCTGCTCCTGCATAGCTCGTAATGGTGCTCGGACACATTCATGCGTCGTGGCGTGGCCGTGATAGCACGTCGTAATTTCCGAAGTTTATGGCCACGACACGGCCATGGAGTAGAAAGGATGAGGGGCATGTGAAGAGGAAGAGGAAAGAGGAAGAGCGACTCGGAGCTTTCCCCAGGAATCTGCCTCCTGCTGTAATACTCCGTAGTCTGTCTGTCGGACATAGTAGGTGCGCGCACCTGCACGGTCGCACTTTCCACTTCCTTTCCAAAACGACACCCTGACGTCACTAGCCTCTATGACTCTTCCTTTCCACTCTACCGTCATCTTTCCTCACTCATATGCTAGGCAGAAGGGTGCCATCGTCCGTCCGGATACGGGGCAGATGATCGCGTCGAAACAGATCCTGCCGCCTACCTACTAGAAAACATGGCGATGAGGCATTGGCTGTCAATGCCCCGCGGACATCGGGCCAGACCCGTCTCTATAGGTATGGCTGTTGGTAGCAGGGTCACATCCCTGTGGCCATGTAAGCATACGCCGGGAAGGCCTCGGCTCAGTTCCGTTGAAACAGATCCTCAAGTCTGTCGCGAATGAGATGATGCAGTCAAGAAGGCAGATAGAGGCCTTGCCATCAACCTTATCGGAGTCCAGCTCTATCCGGCGAGTGCTGGGTTGTTGACTGGTCAGCATGGCTTTCCACAGCTTCGTCGCCAATTTGCAGCCTACCCGCGTGTCATGGCACACGCATAATTTTCTTGCCTGACCGTGTATGGCCCGCACGGGAGGATACCAGAGTAGATGTTCAAAGTCACGGTGTCGGAGCTGGCCTGGAGGATTCAAAGGGGGGACTATGTTGCATATTCAAACGGCGGCGGGTCACAGAAATCCCGTTTTTATTGGGCAAATTGACGAGTGCGAGATCTTGTCTCGTCGAGTCTAGAGTGGGTGGGTTTTCCGTGCCGGCGCTTAACAGGCGTCTTAACCCCCTCGGCGACCACACCTGCTTTTGCAAATGGCAAATACCGGAGTCAGCTTCACCATACCCCTACCATGGCAATACGAGTACACAGATCAGAGAAATACTGCGTACTCGTACGAAAACCATGACTATTTATAGGGTCGCACCGTCGCCATCTGGATGGCTCCCCCGTCTCGTACAACCTTTTACATGTGCTACTCCCGCTTTGTACAACTTCGTTTTCATCTGGAAGACCCCTCTCTTCTCTGAGTGCGATTGTAGTCACACGGCCTTGCCGGCCCCTCTTCTACCATCATGCAAGACGACGGCGTTTTTCGCATCATCAGCCAGGGTGTCAACTCGGGGAAGTTACCCGACTTCCCCAATTCGGTCCAATCTACCGTGAACATCTCGGTGATTGACTTTTGGCTATACCACGGAAACAACAAACACGTCAGATGCAAGAAGGAAATTGTACCGCCCAATAGCCAGGAGGAATTTCTGAATAAACGGGTGGGTGACGATGGCGAGTCGCTGCTGTTCCGCCTCGTCTGGGCTACTGCCGACAGCGATTATCCGGAAAACAACCTCTCTAGGTCGATCAGGGAGAGAGTGCTGGGCCATTTCGGCCTCGGCTTCGCCTATCAATACGCAAACACCTTCTTCAGCGGAATCACCTCCCTATCCTCCGAGAGACTCCAGGACTCTTACCGGCAAGCCCATGTATTTTGCTATAAGCCTAATATGGGTGCCGTATGGTCCCACACTGTCCCGAAAGGTGACAAAGGCTTTACGGAGTGCCTTGTCATGAGCCACATCTCGGGCAACGACAGTCCAGAGAAGGGGGCCGAGCAAGCAGCAAAATCTCTGGAGAAACTCTACCGTCTCCTGAGCAGTATCGCTTGGGACCCGAACCTGTGCCGCAGTGCTGCGTTTCCAGCTTATCTGTTCAGCCTGATGCTGGGCATGGAGATGGATGCGACAATGTACGAGACCGTGATGGAGCTTCGCACGATCGAGTCCATGACCGGGCACCACAGCTACAAGCACAGAAAAAATTGGAACGGCGCCGGCGATCCTGGCGACCAGGCCTCCACCGCCGGGCAGGACGGGGACGGTGCAGGTGGCGTGGCTGCATCGTCTGCCGGCAAGGCCTATATCCATGCTAGCCAATACGGCCACCATGGAGAAGCTGCTACACGGAAAAGGCTGGAGGCAGACGCGCTCGCCGAGCTCTCCAGCGAAGTTCCCGGCCACGCGACCAAGCTAGCCAGTGTCAGACGCAAGGCCAAGGTGGTCAAGGAGCTCCTCGACTTCATCAAGGCAATGTCGGGGGACGACGAGAAGCTTATGAGGGACAATGCTGGTGTTCTGCAGCAACGACTAGAGATGCAAAAGATGGAGGCCCAGCATCTTCGCGAGCGAGTCGAGATTCAGATACAGGCAGTACGTGACCGCATCAAGCTTCCCCTGCCGGTGACACCCTCGTGGCAGGCCATGCTACATGCCATACTAACTGCCATCCTTCCAGGTATTTCATCTGATATCCAAAAACGACTACATGGACAACCTCGAGGTGGCAAACCAGAACAAGCGCATCTCCGAGTCGATGAAAGCACTGGCCATCGTCACCATGTTCTTTCTCCCGGGAAGTTTCGTGTCAGCCCTCTTCTCCACGCCCTGCTTCAACTGGGACACTGTCGATGAGAGGAACTTCGAGAGCATCGGGGTTGGCGTCACCCCGCAGTTCTGGCTATACTGGTCCTTGACAGCCCCTCTGACAGCCCTCACCTTTATTGTCTACGCCTGCTGGCTATGGATCCAACACGAGAAGGAGGTCGTGAGGTTGAGGGCCGGTGGTATCGGGAATCCCGCACCACCGACCATGATGAGCCAGCTTGTCCAGGCACCAGGGATAAGGTTCTTTTCTGGAGTTGCTAGACAGATGACGAGGAGAAAGAGTACCTTGGGGATGGAGTTGAACAACCTGAAGACTGTATAGGGGGCTGGGAACATTACGACGAATGAAACGCATTAATGACCAAAATAAGCAGTAAAGAACGAGATGTATACCAATGATTACATGTACAACATCTCATGATGAACGGCCACGCGACATTGACGCCGGGTAACTGATCTGTATAGCGCGTATCAAAGCTGAAGCTGTAGCATGGGTACTCGTAAAATAAATACAGTGAGTTACAGCCCCGTAACCTCCCCAACTTGGCGGTAAAGCCGCTCCGATGTCTCGGGGTTCTATCGATTGCGTCACACCTCCCCTTCATCGGGCGTCCCCAGCTCTAGCTCTACCTTTTTCTGCGTCCTCAAATAGCTTGGAAGCCGTGCGTGAATTCTCTGCTGCTCGTAGAGAGGATATCCCCGCTCGGCCCTCCTCCCCAGCCTGGCCATGGCCACTCCAGCAGCAGCAGGCGGCCTAACGCCAGCCCGCCTAGGCTTCCTGGCCATCTTCAACCCGTCCCTCGGCAGCACCGACGAGACGCTCGACGACCAGATAGTGTATTACGCCTCCGTGACGACACAGAACAGCAGCAGTGAAAACCATGACAACCACAGCAAGAACCGGCGACGGCGTCGTCATGCCCGGAGCAGCAGGCCGACGGAGGGGATATCACAGGAGGAGCGGCACGAGCGTCTGAGGCAGATAGGCCTGGCCCAGGGCATGGCTAACTTCAGCCGGGGGTTCGCCGGCGGGGCGCCTGTCGATGCTATAGACACGGACAAGTCGAGGGTTATACTGCATGAGCTGGAGCCGGGATGGTGGATATTAGCTGTGGGTGCTCGCAGCTTTCACCAAATCACCCTTGGGGGACGGGTTGTGGCTGACGACATTCTTGCAGAGCATTGACCTCACGAGGATCCCATTGCCTCCACGACTTCCTACAAAGAGCAGCGCCGGATATAGCTCGGAAGAGCAATTCGAGTACTCGACGCGTGAGATGAAGCCGGCCAACCTCATCCTTGCGGACCTGGTCCGCGCACACAATACCTTTCTCCTGCACCACGACGCGTCCCTGCAGGCACTCTTCTCTCGGACCACCACCGCCAGCATCGGCGGTAGGGCCCGCTTTGTAGCCTTGCTGAGCCGGTACTGGGACTTGTACCTCTCGACGTGGAATGTCATGATGCACGGTAACCCCGCGCGCGACGTATACGGGGGTATCAACGTTGCGGCGTCGGGGGAGTTGGGCGTCGGAGTAGGCGAGGAGGAGAGGGGCAGCGGGGAGAGGGAGGTTCTAGAGGGTCTCGTCGGTAGAGTCGACGGCCTCGTGGATCTTATCGTCTCGAGATTTGGCACCGATCAGGGGGAGGAGCACGGTAACGGGGTGGGTGTCTCGGGTGACCGTGAGCAGAAGTTATCGCCGCCACCTTCATGGTTGGGGACGGGGCAGGAGCCCCGATCCGAGGATGGCGCTATCTTCCTGGGCACGGGTGCACTGTCGAGAAGTTCGCTGAGAGATGTCACGCTCTGGATGCAAGATCTGTATACCTGGGGGGAGCACGCGTACGGGGTGATCGACAGTCCAACGGGGACGAGGCGGGCGAAGGGGAAGAGAGGGAGGAAGGGGAGGAGGGGAGACGTGGAAGCGGGAGCGTCAAGGCAGTCTGCCGAGACCGGAGCGCCGCCGGACTCGACGACAGGCCAGGAGGAGACGCGGGCTGCTGGCGATTCTCCTCCAACTGCACCGCCAGTCCAAGAGAGACGGCCTGGAGACGAATTGGAAGAGGCGGTATCCACGGACAAGTCACAGGAACCACGAGAGGCACGAAAGGGTACACCAGAGACGGACGCTCAAGGAGAACCTAGAGAGCCGAGCAAAGCAGCAGACCAGACGATCGAAGCAGGGAAAGCACCGGAAACAACAGCAGCAGCACAGAACCCTGCCCCGCCAGCACCGAAAGACAGACCAGCCGAAGCCGAAGAAGGCAAGCTCGACAAAATGGTCAGCTATCTCAAGATGGGATACGGAACATACTGGAGCCTCCCTGTGCGAGGCGCAACGGCAGACGTAAGCGCAAACGCAACGGAGGACCGGAAACAAAAGACGACGGCGCCGGCCGACACGGCAGCATCAACACGCCGCGGGACAGTCTTGGACGAACAGGGCCACTTCCTCATCGGCCGGAGCGGCGAGTCTGAAGAGGTCCTCGGTGAAGGGGAGGCGGAACGTGGTGAAGGCTCCGGCGAGCCAACCAACCAGCGTACCATGCCCCGAACACTGAACGTCGGACTCAGCACGGCCCGCAACGGTAGGGACAGGAATAGACAGGAGGAAGGAGAAGGGGAAAAGGCGGAGGGTGAGGATGAGGAGGACGAGGAGGGCAAAGACAGCAGAGACGCCAGAGTCTGCGTGGTCGTCTACGTCAACCGCCCCTTCATATTCACCCTGCTCTTCGACACGCACACGGACTCCCTGGCACTGGACTCGTGCTACCGCTCGCTGCACCGCCAGCTCGCACCGCTCAGGAAGCCCCTCCTCTCGTCGACGCGGTACCGTCCCGAGCGACCGTGGTCCTCGTCGGACTCCGCATCGTCACCATCAATCTACGACCTGGTATGGGACCCGACAGCCCTGACGGTGCACTCCACGATGCCCGACATCCCGGAGACGTACGAGCCCGACGGCATACACTCCTGGACCAGGGCCGACGCGCTAAACACCCATCTTCACATGCTGGCCATACACTCTGCCTCTTCTTCTCCCCCTCCCTCTTCCCTCCTCGAACGTACACAAAAGACCCAGAGAGGATGGTGGGTGGTGTGGACAAGACTACTCAATCACCACGGCCACGATACTCCCCACCGTGCTTCGGCAGCTGCAACCGCCAATCTATCCACGATTCACGAATCCGAATCCGAATCCGAATTCGGTGGTAGGAATAGTTCAGATGAAGAAGAAGAAGAAGAGGCAGAAGAGGAGAGAGAGGTGCCCCCTCCGACAGTGGACAAGGACATCTTTCTCGTCAGGAGGGCGAGTGACCATGTCGGATTCAGGCGCGAGGCAGCGGACGGGGCGGGACGGCTGGCTCACGGTATAGGTGTCGACACGAGGAGGTATGTCGAAGAGCTGCTCACCTTGCTGTGAAGACTGATAGGGATGACTCAAGGGGGGTTCCTGCGATCCTAGGCATATCTTGTTATGATCCTGACCTGATTATCTGCGTCGGAAAGGAATCTAATCAGTAGTCGTGATTATACGTCCGAAAGGAAACAATAATATTCGAAACAACAACACAGCTCTTGCATACCCCATGTTCTATCCTACTGTTATTGTCTCATCATAACCCCGTGTTCTGTCCATGTCTCGTCATGCTGTGAGACAGGTACAGATTAGAGTCGCCACTATTTATTACAGAGTACAGGCCTTTGGTGTATTATATGAGTGAGGTACGAGTCAAATGTTTCACGTCTTCAATGCGTTGTGAACAACCTGCAACGACCACTCTACTGAGATGCGATCACAGGTACCGGTAGTGGGTCCAGTAAGTAGTAGTAGTAGTAGTAGTAGTAGTAGTATGATGACCATTCATTCAAGAACAAGTAACGATACGAGGTGTGTATATTTTCCGATGCCAATCCTTCCAATTGGGTTCTTTTTGAAACAAAAAAAAGAGAGTGAAGAAAAACAGTCCCTTTTGTCGCAGGTAGATCTTCCCCATCTACTTTGATTCCTATGCGTAGATATATAAGGAAAAAAAAGTACGACACAAAAACAGTGAGAGTAGGGTGAAAAAAAAAGAGTATCCAAGTATTCCTAAGAAGAGGGGGGGGGGGAATATAAAAAAAAATATGTACACAAGAGAAGAAGAGTAAAAGAGGGTTTCACGTCCTAGAAGATCCGGTCCCCTACAGGAGAGACCAGGTGATGTCGGCACGGCCGACGTCGAGGGTGCCGAAGAGCTCGAGGAAGACCTTGGTGGAGACGTCGATGTTGGTGAGAGCGCAGCCCATGCACTTGTCCTTGACGATAGCCTGGGTGGTCTTGCCGTTGGCCGAGAGGGTGATGGTCTGACCGCAGAGGGGGTTGTTGTTGGACAGGAGACCCATGAAGAGGTGGGACAGGGCGACGATGTTCTCCGACTCGTCCTTGCCGGTGTCGTCCTCACCGCAGGCGCCCACGCCGACGGTGTAGTAGGTGATCTCACCCTGGTGGGATTCGCCGCCGCCGCCGCCGCCGGTGCCGACGCTGACATCGACGCTGCTGCTGGCGGAGACGACGGCGACCTCGGAGGAGGTGGTGGTGGCGGGCTGCTGCTGGACCTGCTGCTGGGTGGTGGTGGTAGGCTCGGGGGCTGGCTGGGTAGAGGTGGTGGTGGGCTGCTGCTGGACCTGCTGGACCTGCTGCTGGGTGGTGGAGGTGGTGGGCTCGGCGACGGGAGCGGGTTCGGTCGTCGAGGTGCTGGTCGTGGTAGGCTCGACGACGGGGGCAGCAGGCTCGGTGGTGGTGGGCTCGGCGGTGGTGGGCTCGGCGGTGGTGGACGGCTCAACCTCCTCGGCCTGAGGCTCGGACAGGGCCTCGAGAGAGACGGCGGCGGCCAGGATGGTGGTGGTGGTGGCGTCCTGGTACTCGGTGACCCAGGCGGTCTCCGTGACCCAGGCGGTCTCGGTGATGAGGGCACGCCTGTCGTTGTTGCGACGGTGCTTGTGGCCGTGCTGGCTGTGCTTGCCACCGGCGGCGGCGGCGGCGGCGGCGCCGACGAGGAGGGCGGAGGTGATGATGGAAGTCTTCATCTTGGTAACGTAGTGTGACTTGGCCTTGGCTGTTCAGTTGTACGGATCTGTTTTTCTTCTATGTATGTATGATGAGAGGGAATGTGCCAGGTATATAAAAGGAGTGACAGGTTGAGGACGAGATGAGAGGTTTTGTCTGAGAGGGAATGAATAGAGAGACCTGCTCAAGAGAGTGAAGAAGAAAGGAAGAAGAAGAGGGAGAGACTTTTCTTCTTCTTCTTGAATCAAGGAAATAGAATGAGATATGGGGTTGAGAGGGAGAAGAAGGGAACCGGGGGGGGGGGGGGATGAGGGAAAAGAGCAGGGGGAGGGGTCCATGGCATTTTATGAATACGGAGCGAAGGAGGATTTTTTTTTTTTTTGACGGGAGTGGAGTTGGCTCTAGTGTGCTCGTGGTGTGCCTGCGCAGGTACAGGTACAGGCACAGGGTACCTATTACCACCTACCTGCTGTAGGGAGTGATCTGTACTCAGCGCAATGATAACTGGCCGCTATCACAGAGCACTACACCGCGGTACTCGATACCGGGTCTCTGGACTGTTACCTACTGCCGCTGCTACTACTTCCGGTACATGTACGTAACCCCCCCTCCCTCCTGTATACGAGTACGTCGAACACTTCCCATTATTCATTCTCGGACCGTAGTCGTGATTCCATCTCGTCGTATGTCGTGCCGTACACTGTACAGCACCGAGGGTTCAGACGGACAGGTGGGCGGATGGATAGACCACACGGACAGAGCGATCTGTGATTCGTCATGCTGTAAGGCACCATCCGCAGCAGTGGTCGGTGGTCAGGTACAGCGGCGCTAGCGGGACGGCTACTTCTACTTTTACTGGGCTCTGGGTATACGAGTATACGTATGGTATAGAGTAACATTACATGCATCACGCTGCAATCTGTACCGTCGTCGCCGTGCAGGTACCTTTCTTCTTTCTTATTATTTTTTTTTTTCCAAAGCCCGTGTGGGCCCTTGAGCTTTTCAGTGTCTGCCGCCTGGACCCTTCCATCCTTCCAGGTTCAGGCGCGCCTCTGTGGGCCACCCCCCCCCACCCTGGAGAGGAACCCACCGACACCATAACTTCCTATTGGTCATATACCTGGTAAGGAAAGTAATATGGGGTTCCCATTCCCCACTCCATCTGCTGGCCCTGCGTGGGAGAGAGAGAGAGAGAGATGCTGATGCATAGTGGTGAGCGGTGCACAGGCTTTCCACCCCCCTTCCTCTCTCACCTCTCTCAGCCTTTCGATCCCCTCTCCCTACCAGGTATCAAACCATCTACGGAGAAGAGGAAAGATGGCGCTGTGAGAGAGAAGAGAGAGAGAGAGAGGCCCGATGCATGCCAACCGCCAGCTCTGTCGCTGGCGTCTACGGATGGGCTGTACGGGTACATATATATACTTATATACACATGTATATAATATGTAATACGGGTAATCGTATACTGCCGGGTGTCCGGTCCTGAAAAGCCTCGTCCACCCCCTCCCTGCCTCATCCCCTGCTGGGATGCTGCAGCTTCTGGACTGTTTTTCTTTCATTCTTTTTTTTTTTCCTTCTCTCCCTCTCTCTCTCTTTCTCTCTCTCGCGCGCGCGCGTGCTGTCCCCCCCACTCTACGGAGTCATTATTTTATCACTGCTAGCAACTTTGGCGTATTCGTATCGTAACACGTATACACAGGCAACACCCATGAGCGGCACGTACCTGCTTACTCGTACGTGTAATCTGTACAGAGTCATCGATCCCCCCCTATATCATCATGTACGAGTCGACGAGGCGAGAGAGGGTCGGAAGAAGACTTCTCCTCCCGCTGACTGGAATGTCTTCTCTACCTTACCTGCCGTGAGCACGGGTAGTCTCTTGCAACCTACCAGCAGCCCGAGGCGTTTGGCCATTACAATGTGTCAACATTGTCGCTGCACGGCCCTGCCATCGTCACTCGTCACTATTCATGTGTCCGTGCTCGTAGACTGTACATCTGTAATCTGTATGCAGTACGGAGTATCATTACACATTACATGACGTGCTATGTATCTGTACGGGTACATCGTATTGCTCCGCGACTTCTCTGTACGGTGCACGAGCAGTCAAGGCCTCTTGTCCCCTTGTCTGATCCATCAACCATCATGTTCTCCAGGATTAAGCAGTAATCTGCTGCTGTTTGTATTATTCCTGCTACGACCCAGGCCAACTCATCCGCCCAGCGTCCCATCATGTGTGTGTGTACCCGTACCTGCAATCCGTAGTCTGTCTTTGCGCTCTCGTATCCTCGTACCTCCCGATCCCAATGACTCGTCTCCTTTCCTCCACTCTTTTCTTCTCTCTCTCTCCCCGGCCCCTCCATCCCTTCCTGCCATGAGACGATTTCGTGTCGGGGTGCTCCGTAGAGGAGAACGAGTAAGGGGATTATTACACTGAGGTCTCTCCCGAGAAGAAAAAAAAAAAAAAAAGAGAACCCCCCCACTGGTGAGCCACCACGTTGTCAAGCGTCGCTGTACGCCGCGGGGTGCTACCGCTGGACAGGCCCACCCTCTTCATGACTCTCATCTTGTCGTACATGTACGTACAGATTGCATGGTATACGAGTACATGTAAAAAAGAATCTCTCCCCGATCACAGGTACGAGTACAGCGAGTAGGCAGTTCGACGACTCGCGATCGATCACGCACCGCCGCCAGACCTCTGTAATACCAACGGACTGCGACACCTTCTCATCGCACCATGCCCTTCCCTCTCTTCTCTCGAGTATCCTGGAGAGAGGGAGGCCATGCTGGTGTACGTGCCGAAATTACGCCAGTACTACCTAGCAATGACACATGTGCTCGTAGGCCACCCCTCTCCCTCCCAGATTACGAGTAATAATAATAATAATACAGAGTACGGGTATGAGTACAGGGGGTTTGCGGTGTCGGATAGTTATTGCGTCGTAAAAGTGCCACAGGCCGTGAAATGTCGTGGCATAGTACGAAACCTCGGATCATCTTCGACTTGTACCGCCTCCCGGGGGGCGATGGCTGAGGAAAATTAGGCTTTTCAACGTCACCGGCACACGGGACCATCCTTTTTACTTTATACTCGTATTTGTTAATATGATAATATCGTAAGAGATGTAATGCCATGGTAGAGATGAGATGATGCCATGCACCGAACTTCTTCCTCCCTCCCTCCCCCCCCTCTCTCGCTCTAACGGGGTCTCTCTCTGTCCCGTCCGTCTGCACATAGCCCGTGTGCCATCATTAGTCATCACGCCTGGGCCTGGATGGTCTGCTGTTGATTCATCAACCAATGCCCATCAGCACCACGATTACTCGTGCGGCGTATGCTTTTCCGTATGCGAACTCTCCTCCTTCGCCTTGCTGCCTGCCTTGCGGCCGTTCCGGCTCCTCAAAGAAAAGAGAAACAGCCCCTGACGCTCAAAGACTGGTCTGTCCTCGTCCGCCAGCTCGTCCACGACAAAGGCCTTGCGCGCCATCTTGACGAAGCGCATGTCGGCACGGCGACGCTTCTTGAAGCAGAAGTAGACGACGGCCTCGTCGTTGAGGGCCAGCAGGTCCTTGAGCGTCTGCAGCAGCAGCGGAAAGGCCGGCTCGAAGTAGACGCACTCGGCTGCGATGATGACGTTCGGTCTGACTTGTACGACTTGTTCAGGAAGTGCTTCGCCCCTATTGTTTCGCAACGTGACGACGACACGCAGAAGGATGAAGGTCCCTTTTATCAGCATTCACTTCTTTCCCCCCTTCTGTTTCTCCTCCGTTGCCTGTCCTTCCGTCTTCTTCACGCTTGACAGCCAATCACACACGCAGAGTGCAGGTATCACACTTCGTCTGAGAAGAGGAGTTGATAGAGACACACGCTCCTTGGCTTGACATCATACCTCGCAGTACAAAACAAGGAAACCATTTTTTCTAGGGCGGGAAAGGAGAGAGAGGAGAGAGGGGGGGAGAGGATGGACTGCTCCGTGCTCTTAGTTCAAAGCGTAATAGAGTGGGACAGGATACGCACCAGTTGAGGATGAGGGCCTCTGCACGGTGCTCCACGTCGTTGAGTCGGATGTTGTGCTCCATGAGTTCAAGCATCTCCGCCTGATCTGTTAGCAGAAGTCTGCTCTGCATGCCGTCGCATTCGAGCGCGACTCCTAGACCGACAAGACCGCCACCAGCACCGATCTCGAGGCTGTTTGGCTCAGAGTCAGTCAAGCCGGCCCTGATCCGTTCATGCCCATGCGTCACCATCAACTACCCGTACCACAAAATACGCAGCATCTCGTGGTGATACGGAGCATGATGCTCGGAAAAACAGGGTCAAGCCAGGAACCACCCTCTTTCCTCTCCCGGGGAAGACACCACCCACTCACATTCTTGCATTCTGCAACTCTTCCCGGTGATATCGCAGCATGTGCTTTCCCAGGACCATGCCGGCAGGCCACGTCTGCCCGCCACATCCCGTCCTCACATCCTCGTGGTACTGTAGCGTGCGCGATAGCTGGCCGTCAAACGTGATGGGTGTGTTGCCCTTGATCTTGAGAGTGGGAAGCGGGGCCAGACCGCCCTCGCCGATGGCTGCCACCGGGTCTAAAGGCGGTGATGGCGACGGCGATGGAGGGGTGACGGAACCAGGCATCTCGTTTCCGTCTTCTTCTCCTCCTTCCTTCTTTTTCCTTCTTCTATTCTTTCGTCGGGACCTCTGTGGGTGTATGCGTCTTTTTTCTTCTTCTGCGTACGTATTCTAGTGATTGCTGTGTGTGCGTGCTGGCTGTGCGTTCCGATAAGAGGTGGGACGGAGTAGAGGGAGGGTGAGAGGAGAGAAAGAAGGATAGGTGCGATGCACCCGCGCTGATAAAGCGTGCCCCCCCCCGTTCACCAGTGATATAATAATCTATAGAGGGTAATGCTAATAGGTGGTAGGTACTATATAGAAGAATAAAAAGACAGTGAGCCCGTAGCGCTTCCTGCTCTTCTGGTCGTGCCTCCTCCGGTCGAGGAGTGAGGGTGAGGGAGGCTCCCGTGGTGGGCGAAGGTCCCTTGAAATCACGCGAGGTGCAGCCGCAGTCAAGGGTCCGATTCATCGCCCAGGACGGACTCACCCACCGTCGCTCACAGCCTGTGATAGGCCACAGCCTCAGTGAATCCAGGCAGCTTGGGCCTTGGCAGCCTTAGGGGACATGCGGGCAGGGTCCAGACCCCGAAGAGAGAAGCCGACGCCGGAGTGGCCTGGACAGGAACAGGACAAGCTGCCTCTTCAGGCCGACGTTACAGATAATGAATGCATCGAGCTCTCAACACTTACTGGCAATAATGTGAACGATAATGCCCAGCTCTTTTCTGTTCCCTTCTCCTCCCTTTCGCTCTCTACAGATTACATATAGGGGAAGAGAAGAACCCCCTAAAACTGCCCCGTCTTTATATTGAACCCACCCCGCCTCTGTTAGCGATCTATTGCCGCGCAATGGCATCTCATGTCTCACTGTAACACGCACCAACCACCAACCGCCGATACAGCGTCCCACTGTCACCATCTTACAGAAGGGCATAGTACCCGTAATACCCTCTGCTAACCTGCTGCTGGAATGCCGCTTCAACAATTGACCTTTCTGCCCGGCCTTCCGACTCCCATCCCTTCATGACGCTCTACTGCCTGCCTGTGCATGCAGTACTTTCCTACATCACCGCACACACTCGGTACTCAGATGCTCGTAGGCTGCTCTGAGACACTCGCCTCCCGCTGCTACGGTTCATTTCGCAACGTGACCACCATTACGCACACTTGCGTCCTGCGTTTCGTTTCGTCCGTTAGCTCTGTCCTCCTCACCCCTCCCACCCCTCCTCCCCACATCCCATACTACACCCAAGCTTCGAGGAATGAAGGGATCGATATCGCTTCTCACAGCCTCTCCAGCCATGGCAGTGAATGGCCATGGTGAGGGAGGGCCTATGGCGTTCAACCCAGTGTCGCCCTCCTTTCCTTTTCTCCTCCTCTCTTCCTAGTCCATAGTCTGTTGCCAACTCTTCTTCCTTCTCTCTCGGCTCGCTTCTCCATCTGCTGTGCTGGTGATGATCCGTATATTCGCCCGATACTGACCCCGGCGATATATCCATCCTGTCCAGATATCGAACCAGCAGACCCGCATTGTTCTCTCCACCTGGGCTCCTGCGCTTCGAAGCGCACCGACTTCTGCCATCGCGATGGCATCCTCCTTCGGCGCAGCCGCCCTGGTCCTCGTCCAGCTCCTGCTGGGCCTCGTCGCCGGTCAGCCCGTCGTGTCCTTCCCCTTCAACGCGCAGCTGCCTCCCGTCGCAAGGACAGGCAGCCTGTTCACATACGTCTTCTCATCCCACACCTTCACCTCCGACCTGTCCATAAACTACACCTTGGGCGAGCACCCGAGCTGGATCTCCCTCGAGAGCTCCGAGCGCAAGCTATATGGCATCCCTGACGATGATGGTGTGCCCTCGGGCGATGTCGTGGGCCAGACGGTTGAGATCATCGCCACCGACGGCACCGGGTCGGTCACCATGAGATCCACGGTAGTCGTATCGCGAGAAGTCGGTCCCAGCGTGCGCGTGCCCTTGTCGGAGCAGATCGACGGCTTCGGCCCATACTCGGCGCCCTCGTCGCTGCTCGTCTACCCTTCCGAGCCGTTCACCTACCGCTTCAGCTCCAAGACCTTCCACCATGTTCCCGACAGGGTCAACTACTACGCCACCTCGGGCAACAGCAGCCCGCTCCCTGCCTGGATCCGCTTCGACGCCTCGACCTTGACCTTCTCGGGAACCACACCGGGTGCCGACGATCTCTTCCAATCGCCCCAGACGTTTGCCGTGCGCCTCATCGCCTCGGACATTGAGGGTTTCTCTGCCGCCACCGTCGACTTCTCTATAGTCGTGGGCGCCCACATGCTCAGCACCGAGAACCCCGTCATCGAGCTCAACACGTCGAGGGGTGACTCTTTCGAGTACGACGCCCTCGAGGACGGCATCAAACTCGACGGCAAGTCGGTCCAACCCGGCGACCTCAACGTCACGACAACCAACACGCCTGCCTGGCTCTCCTTCGACAGCAACACCTGGTCTCTCCACGGCACCCCGCGCAGCGACGACCACTCGGCCAACTTCACCCTCACCTTCACCGACTCCCACTCGGACTCCCTCGATGTCATGGTCGTCATCAACGTCGCCACCGTCCTCTTCTCTAGCACCTTCCGCGACATCGAGGTCACGCCCGGCGAGAACTTCACCCTCGATCTGCGCCCCCACTTCAAGGACCCCTCCGACGTCTCCGTCGTCTTCGAGACCCAGCCCGACCAGGACTGGCTCAGCCTCCAAGGCTTCATCCTGGCTGGCCAGGTGCCCAGGTCGGCTTCGGGTGAGGTCAGCGTCGACATCGAAGCCGCGTCTAAGAGCTCCAGTCGCAGGGAGACCGAGTCCCTTACCATGACCTTTCTCGCACCCGACGGGAGCACCACCACCACACCCACTACTGCGACGGCCATGCCCACGGGTACGTCGTCAAACACGGGCGAAAGCTCCGGTGGCGAGGACAGGAAGGATGGCGGTATCGGAACCACGGCAATCCTGCTTGCCACCCTTATCCCGATCCTGTCCGTCGCCCTCCTCGCCGCTCTCGTCGCCTTCCTCATCCGTCGCCGCCGCCGTCGCGGGTCCTACCTATCGAAGCAGTTCCGCTCAAAGATCTCCCCCCCCGTCGAAGGCTCCCTCCAGCATACCGAGTCCGGCAGCGACATGGACGCCAAGGCGCTCGCGGCCGTGGGCGTGGGCGCACGGAAAGGCTCGCCATCTTGGCTGGAGAAGCGAGCATCTAAGCGCGCGTCTGAGCGGGCATGCAAGCGGGAATCCAAGCGAGAACCCAAGCGACATTCCAGCCCTGCACCCACGAACTTGCCCGGCTTCAGCTTCCCCGGAAACCGCACATCTGCCCCTGCCACTGCCACTGCCACTGCCCCTGCATCTGCCCCTGAACCTGCACCTGAACCTGCATCCGCAGCGGACAGCCCATCACTACCTCCGAGCGACGTGTTCATGCACAGTGCAGGTATCGAGACGGCCCAGTCCTGCTCCGGCACCGAGGGCGGCTCGTGGTTCACAACCGAAGAGACGGCCGTGGACCAGAGGTCTGATGCGCGCGATCTGCAGAGAAACAAGGCATCCAGCAGCCGGGACTCGGCAACCACGGTCCTCTACTCCACGCACCAGATCCTGCCCACCCCGCCGCTCATACCAATGTCCGAGGAGACGACCGGCTTCAGGAACCGCCTCGACCTGACGATCCCCACGCTCGACGAGATCTCCGGCATGAACGCCACCGGCCACCACGGGACACGCGCTCCCTCGTCATACTACACCACTAATACCGGCGGCGGCGGCCCCCGTTCCGAAGCAGTCTTTTCGACGATGACGACCAGCTCCGCCGCCCTCCCGGGAATGCACCGGACCGCGCAGGACATCGAGAACGATCCCACCTTCTGGGCTAGGCCCACCCCTCTAGCGATGAGCAGCGGCAGGACAGAAGGCTCAGAAAAGGACTGGAGCACCATCCGCGAAGACGAGGACGAGGAGGACGGGTCGTCAGGTGCCGATCCCGTACCCGAACTCCCTCGCCCACCGCAGGTTGCTCGTCCGCCGTCGGACCAGAACAACCAGGCTTCCTCGCTGTCGTCTGTCCGTCGCGCACCACCACGGTCGTCGCATATCTCGTTCCTGTCGGACACGTCATTCGGATCAATGGAGAACTGGAGGGTTCTCGGACGTGCCGGTGCCGGCGCGGTCCCTCAACAGCAGCAGCAGCAGCAGCAGCAGCAGCAGCAGCATGCTGTCCCCGGTGGTATGAATACCGTTGCTTCGGCTCCTCTGTATTCGACTCCGGGGCTGGGTATCAACCGTGATTTCGGCTCCCATGCCGGTTCCTCGACTGCCGCTCCCAAGATCAGGACCGTTCACGAGGCTCATGAGAAGTCGTTTGCGAATATCTTCTCGGGTCTGGATGAGGAACCGGATTATGAGGGACGAGCGAAAGAGGATGAAGAGGATGATGGGTTGTCAGCCGGTGCCGAGGCGTGTAATTGGAAGAGAGAGAGGGAATCTGCTGGTTTGGTATCAGAGAGGAGTTTCAAGGCGTTTCTGTGACTTCTTTATCATTGATTTCTTTTGTCTCTATTGGCATGATACCTGGAGCATTTGGCGGTCATTTCTGATTTCTGATTTTTTTAAAAAAGCAAGGCATCTAGCAGGGCTCTTCTCTTTTTGTTTCCTTCTTTTCTCTTCTTCTCTCTATCGAGTTTTTATTATAGACAATTAATGCGATGAACGTCTTGTAACTAAATATCTTTTCAATCGAATGAAGAAGAGAGGTGTATTCAAGAATGCCGAAGCATTACTCGTATTGACGAGCACTTAAGCACTCGTAGGCTCATCGGGCATGTGCACCGTGAAAAAGGTAAGAGAGAGGGGGGGGCGATCCGAATAGCCGAGGCGCCATATGTCCGACGTCAGATCAGATAAGATTACATTCAATGACGTTTTGAGCAGCTCCATCATCAATTCATCTTACACTTTGAATTCTCACACTTGGAACGATTTGAATTTTTTGCCGAAACAGCTTTCCATGTGCCTCTGACTGTCTTGACGTCTCCACACTCCCCAGAATGGCGTCTACTGCTGCTCTACAGCGCCTCCGGGCCTTCTCAACCTGCGATGTACGTCATCCAAGCTTCCGCTCCCAGCATGTCCAGAGAGTAGACGAGAACAAAAGGAAGGGGGTGAAGGAGAAGAAGAGTTGAAGAAAGAGAAAAAGCGGAGGAGGATGGAAGGAAAACGCGCATAGACGAAAAAAAAAAAGGACTCAGCATTGACAAACTACAACAGATCGGCGACGCTCTCGTCAAGCTCAAATACCCCTACGGCGGCTTCCTGGACGGGCTCTCGATGTGGTCACCGGAGCAGCGGACGGGCACGACCAAGATCCTAGGGCCAGCCGTGACGGTCAAGATGGTCCCCGCGAGCGACACCGCCTCCCCCAAACCGGCGGAGCACTTCGCCGACTGCAACGAGGCGGGCAAGGTCATGTACATCCAGCAGCCGCGGGAGATGTACTCGGCCTGCTGGGGCGGGCTCATGTCCACGCGGGCCAAGTACCTGGGGGCGGCCGGGGTGGTGGTGGACGGGCGCGTCAGGGACGTAGGGGAGCACCAGGAGATGGGGTTCCCCGTGTTCGCCAGGGGCACGTCCATCCTGGGCAGCAACACCTTCACCAGGGCCTCGGAGATCAACGTCGCCGTCCAGTTCAGGGACGACCTGTGGATCAACCCGGGGGACGTGCTCGTCGGCGACAGGGACGGCGTCGTCGTGGTGCCGCCCGGCCTGGCGGAGCAGGTTATCGAGCTGTGCGGGGCTAGGGCGGAGATTGACGAGCAGACTTTCGAGGCCCTCAGGAAGGGGGAGTCTATGAAGTCGACGTTGGCGAGGTTGCGCAAGTAGACGGAGAGAGAGAGAGAGAGAGAGGGATTTTGTCTTGGATGAATATATATATAAATACATGCAAGTATATATATATATATACATATATATATATATATATCTACTGTGTATGGATTATTACCTCCCCGTTCATTATACCCAGCGTTGCTTCGTCCGTGTCCCGCCACGTCTCCCATGCGACCACCATGTCGCCTAGCTGCGTCTCTGTAGCTAGACCCATGTCTATAGCCTTGGTGCGTATCTGACCTGTTCGTAGGCGTTGAATCATCGAGTTGGCTAACCAAGTCTTGGAGTCAGTTCTTGCTCTTTCTTCTTCTTTTTTTTTCTTCGGGTTGTTTCGTTCTAGGCAGATATATATATATATATATATATATAGAGAGAGAGAGAGAGAGAGAGAGAGAAATAAGAAAGTATGGAGCAGTGAGAATGATGGAGAAAAAAAAGGAAACACACCCCATGCTTCTCTATCCTCAGGAGCACTATAGCACCAAGTGCCAAACCCAGCATCGACATGCTCTCTCCTCGCCCCCGCCTCGAGCGCCCACCTGACCAGACGTCTCCCGCCCTTATCCTGCCCCCCATTGGCAAGCAGCGTAGAGACCTGCAGCTCGTGGAAGCGCAGGAGACCGGGAAGCTCGGGCCAAAAGGCAAACATGTGCATGTCCGTCTCTCGCAGGGCGACGACCCCGCCGGGCCTCGTGACGCGCAGCATCTCCCCGACGGCAAGGACGGGGTCATCCAGGTGGCAGAGAACCTGGTGGGCGTGCGTCACGTCAAACGAGGCGTCTTCGAACGGGAGCGAGTAGACGTCCGCCCTCTGGAAGGAGAGCCGTGGCTCGTCATCCAAGAGACCCTCGGAGAGCGCGTGTTGCTTCGCCTTGTCGAGTATCTCGTCGGATATGTCGGTTGCCGTGATGTGGCCCCCCGGGATATACCTGGCCAGAGAGGCCGTGATGGTGCCCGAACCCGCGCCTACGTCCAGGAGCTGGAGGCCAGGATCTGCGGAAGACAGCCGTTGGAGGTGGGGGATCAAGTGCGCCGCGCTGTTCTCCGCCGTGCGCCATTCGTGGTGCTTTACCTGGTCGGGGGAGTGGCCTGGGGCGTAGGCGTTGTGCGTCTTGGCCGTCATCCTTTCCCGTGCGTATATCACTGTTCTCAATCACTATTGTGGGCTCTTCCTTCTGCGGATATAATTGATTGATCGATGACGGACATGCTCTGGGAAATGAAATCTGGTTGTCCTCGTATAAGAGAGAGAGACATGGATGACGTCTAAGACTAATATGATATCACTTGCCAGTCCCGCGGAGCCCCCCCAAACCTCACCGGAGCCACATACATGTACTGGGAATGAACATGGACAGCCAGCACTTCCGGTATGGTGTAGTGGCTAACATTTCGCGCTCTCATAACCTGAGGGAAGTACCCTTCCGCGGAGCCCAGGGTTCGATTCCCTGTACCGGAGTTCCTATTTTTGGTGTTTTTTTCTTTCTCTTCTTTTTCTTCTCGTCGCTAGTCTGCTTGCCCTCTTTTCTGAGATTTTCCTTAAATTTGGGAGAGAGACGATAACTGAAGATGTGTGAGAGGCCTTGTCAGATACTTTCCGTCTCTGAACCATTCATTCTTCTTGAACTCTCTAGTATATTCCGACCAAGACTCTGACTAAGCCAAAAGGCACCTATTCAATGACTGCGTGCATCGATGAAGTCTATGGAATGAACCAATAGCCGGATTGAGTCCCGCGTCTGCCGTGTGCCTGTGCTGCCCTGTGACGTGACCGGATTTAACATTAGGCAGCTGCTCTCAGTGCTCACCACCTGGAGCCCCGCCGCGGGGCGATCTGGGTGGTTCATGTTTCGAAAGCCAACCAGATGATACCGTAAGCCTGTCCATCCATCCCACAAACACGACAGCAACACACGGCCGTACACAGTAAACGCACACCACGATAAACGGACCGTCATGCGCCCCTGCATCATCTGACGAACCACCGGCCTTCTGTCTTCGCTCTCCTTCTTCCTTCCTCTTCCCTCGGGGTCTCCCTTGCTAGCAAAAACAGCCTCGCTTCTGTATTTGCACTTGCTCTTTCTTCTCAAACCGTCTATGCCAACTTGGACTCTCTGACAGGACCGACCGATACCTTTCTGTCTCTTCTCTATTTCGTCATCCGTACGAACATTTCATCTCGCCGCTTCCGCTTCTTCTGTTGAATCTCCCGTCAGCAGAACAGAGAAGATTGAGATACAACGAGGCGCGTGTCGCCGCGGGAATCACTTCCATTCCCCGCTCGCCCCTCCCCTCCCCCCCTTCCCAATACAATATATATATATATATATATATATAAGAAGAAATGGCCTCCCATGCGCCGTTGCAGTTTGCAACGTTTACGTCAGAGATTGAGCTGCCCTTCTACTCAGCCCTGTTTGCGTCCAAGCTCGACTATGACAAGCTAGACGACTCGGCTCGGGGTGTCCTGGGTTTGTATGAGCCGCGGTTTGCCGAGCCGGACTCCAGTTGCAAGATGCAGATCCTGGGGAATGCCCTCACCAGCCAAGAGTATGTTTGTATCCATCCTCCCTATCCCTATCTGCCCATCTATCCGCTACCTAGTCTTGCATCGAGGGGTACTGACGTTCCCGAAGCACCCCGCTCGGTACCGCCCGCGCCGAGGGTATCATCAAGAATGTCAACACGCTGGACGGCTTCAAAAACACCGACAAATCGGCCATGATACGGACGGCAGGCCGACAGATCTGGGACGCCATCAACGATGGGAGCATCTACTCTGTCCCGTCGCTCCTCTCGTCCTTCATCATCCTGTCGTACGCCGATCTCAAGAAGTACAAGTTCACCTACTGGTTCGCCTTCCCCGCGCTGCACTCCGACCCCCAATGGCGCCGGGCCGGGGCCGCCGAGCGGTTCGACGCCGACGAGAGCACGGCCCTGGTGGACCGCGTGGGCACGTGGCGCTACAGCGTCGACAGCCGCGAGCACGGCTTCTTCCTCGCCAAGAAGGTGCGCGGCCAAAGTACCGAGCCCGAGGAGGGAGAGGCCGCCAACCGCCTGCCCTACCGGTGGGAGGTGGCGTCGCTGCGGCAGTTCGAGAACGGCTTCCTGGCTGACGTGCCGGAGGAAGACCGGTACGTCGCCTTCGCCGACCCGTCGACGTACGCCGAGGGTCCCGGCTGGCCGCTGCGTAACCTCCTGGTCCTCATGCGCCAGCGCTTCAAGCTGTCCAAGGCCAAGGTGCTCTGCTACCGGGACACGTGGGCGAGGCGTCACGAGGCGCGAAGCGTGGTGCTCCCTATAGAGGTAGACTCCACCGCGGATGAGGGGAGCACGGCCATGAAAGAGATGCCCAAGGTGACCGGGTGGGAGAGGTCGCGCAACGGCAAGCTGCAGGCGCAGCAGGCCAACCTGGGCGAGTACATGGACCCGAGCCGTCTGGCTGACTCGTCTGTGGATCTGAACCTGAAGCTGATGAAGTGGCGGCTTGCGCCGGATCTGGACCTGGAGCTCATAAAAAACACAAAGTGCCTACTCCTCGGGGCGGGAACGCTGGGCGGCTACGTCTCGCGCAACCTGCTGGGCTGGGGCGTGCGCAAGGTGACGTTTGTCGACTACGGGAGAGTCTCGTACTCGAACCCGGTCCGGCAACCCCTCTTTGAGTTTGACGACTGCGTCGGCGGCGGGCGGCCAAAAGCTGAGCAGGCGGCCCGCATGCTCAAGAGGATATACCCCGGCGTAGACGCCGAGGGACACTCCCTCCAGGTGCCCATGCTCGGACACGCGGTCACGGACGAGGAGCGCACGCAGGCCGACTTCGAGAAGCTGAAGAAGCTGATCGAGGCGCACGACGTCGTCTTTCTCCTCATGGATACGAGGGAGTCGCGGTGGCTGCCGACGGTCATGGCGAAGGCTGCGGGGAAGATTGTCATGAATGCCGCGCTGGGGTTCGACTCATACGTCGTCATGCGGCACGGGTCGGAGAGTTCCGAGGCTGGACTGGGCTGTTATTTCTGCAACGATGTCGTCGCGCCGGCAGACGTAGGTCCCCCCTCCCATCTCTCGCCTGATTTTACTCTTCCCCCTTTCTTTTTCTCGACACCTTCATCCCGGAGTGAGATGCTGACTCCTCTGCAGTCGATGAAAGACCAGACACTAGACCAGCAATGCACCGTTACGCGGCCCGGCGTAGCAGCCATGGCGTCAGCGCTCCTCGTCGAACTACTGACGAGCCTCCTCCAGCACCCCAAGGGAAAGGACGCGCCGGCGCCGCAGACGTCCAGCCCCCAGTCGACGCCGGAGCGCGACCCCCCCTCCCATCCTCTGGGTCTGGTCCCGCACCAGATCCGAGGGTACGTGTCGACGTTTCAGCAGCTGGTGATCAGGGGACAGTCCTACGACTGCTGCAGCGCGTGCAGCCCGTCCATCATCGGGGCGTACCGGAAGGGGGGGTGGGACTTTGTCAAGCGGGCACTGCGAGAGAAGGATTATGTGGCGGAACTGTCGGGTCTGGCTGAGGTGCAGAGACGGGCGGAGGAGATGGCTGGGGACGTGGATTGGGATGAGGAGGGGCTGGAGGATGGGGAAGGGGAACTTGTCTGACGTGGCCTCTCTCTTTTTTTGTTTTGTTTTTCCTGTTTGCTCGTTTCCTTGGCAGGTGTTGGTGGTGTTTCTCTTATTTCTTCTTCATTTCTTTCTATCTCTTCTCTCTTTTTTCTTTCTTTTCGTCTGCTCATTTCGACTTGGGTTAGAAGCTATTGCGAGCCAAGACATGGTTCATCGGAGTCCACGGCGCCACGACAAGTTTATGTCTATCAAGACGGTTTTCTCAACATGGAAGGACTTCACATAGAAAGATATCATATAAGATTGAATGGTCATGGGTATCGAATATTAAATATTGAGAAGAAAAAAAATCATCCTCGTCCCATAATCCAGGTTTTTTGCTCCGTGCTATGCCTTTGGCTGAGAAGGTAGGGGAGATGAGAAGGAGAGAAAGAAAGAGGAAGAGGGTGAAAGAAAGGAGAGTGGTGGAGAGAAAACTGGAACACAGAGTCCCCCGCAAACAGAAACAAGAAGATGAAGGAGAAAGCAGGTAAAGCTGTCCCAATTCGGGATCGTTATGTAGCGTATCTTGTTCGTCATCGTTTCCCATGTTCTTTCCGAGTGGTGACGTAACGAGATGATGTCATTTTCGGAGGGAATTCATGGTAGATGATGGTCTAGTATTTGAAGATGATGTAGAGGGCGTGGATGAGGCCGGGGATGAAACCTTTTTTTTTTTAAAAAAAAATCTTTGTTAGTACGTCTATCAAGGATAAGGGGACACGCAACAGAGAGAGAGAGAGAGAGAAGTGGAGGGAGGTTGAGAAAGAACATACCGAGAATGGTCAGGGCGATATTGATGAGAAGGTCGATACCGCAGCCCTTTTCGAGAAAGACACCGACGGGGGGGAGAATGATGGCAAAGAAGATTTTGCAAATGTCACTGGGGATTTTGTCAGATGGTGAGTCTCTGTAATAGGAGATATATATCTATATATATAGAGAGAGGG